GAAGTATTCAGCCCTTCGATCTGCACTCGTTTATTCAACATTCTGATATAAAAATGCTATTATAAATCGTTCCTCCCCAAATAATTGTAGGAATCTATCCTAGCTGCTCGTGTACCTATAACTTTTAATAATAATTTTAGTCACGAATTGCGTACATCGTTGTAGTAATCTGAGTAATCATCATCTCGGGTGCATCTGAATTGCGTTTGCTCTAACATTAACGACTATAGAGTAACTATAGAACTGGAAGATAAAAGGAAAGCTTTGTTAAGTTCACAAATGTATTTTTCAGTAAAAAATCTCATTTGCTTTTTTACGCTACAAATATCATATTTAAGGCCCATTCACTAAGGCCCATTAATGTCTCAGATTTTGAAGCTAGAAAACACAATAAAAATTCTTGCAAGTTATATTTGAATAAAAATATTTTTCAATGAAACAACGTTGCAATCGATAGAAGAAACTTATAAAATATACTGAAAACTGTCTTCTCGTTTCTGGGAGAAATTAAATCATATTTATTTCCATATGTTAAAGTTCCATATTAATTTGACAGATTATCATAATTATGAAGATAGCCCATTTCGGTTTTGGTTGCATAATTCTTTTCAGATATGTATCATTTATTAAGGCTGCGTTCCGAATTACGCATGAGGCGCATGAGATATCATATTATCCTTCCTTATTCTTCGGTGAATAACAAGGACAAATGATGCATCATGCGCTTTGTGCGTAATTCGGAACTCACTCTAATTAACCAAACAAAAGAAGTTATATTTTAAGTCAGATCTGTCGATCATAATTGTTGTTTTATCGAAACATATTTTACATATTAAAATACTTTGGAAGAATTTTTATTATGTATTTTCTCGCACAAAATTTTGATTGTACGTACAAAACGATTTCTCTTAGGGCCTCTTTCACCAACCCCGATTAACATTAATCGATGGTTAACTCAATCATCACGAATGCCAATGTGAGAACTAAACACAGTTTGTCTCATTGTCAGAAGAGGAAGAGAGAGGAGATATTCTGATACTTGAATTGTTGTTGGCACTTCTGCGAGTTGATCGTCGATTAATTTAACCAGAAGTTGGTGAAAGAGGCCTTTATTAATGTTACAGGTGTTACCAATAAATAATTAAGTGTCTGTTAGGTATGACTTTTGGTGCCAAAGTTATTTCGATGTCGATACTCGAACTTTCAGTGTCGATCACACACAATCTTTAAATTGTGACCGATGACGAATAAATCATTATGTCATTATCTTTCTCTGGCTCATAGTTAATAAATACCAATGTATAATTTTGTTTACGTCTAATCTCCTTTTCTTAAATATTAAGTCTATTTTTTGTGGCTGAACTAGTGTACACTTTTGGAACTTAAAGATAGGTGTATATGGTATAATATTTAAGCTGCATTCGAGGTGCGCACTATCAGCGCCATTTGTGTCATCTATCCTTTTCTCACGTCTAATGGACGATGAAGATAGAATGACACAAATAGCGCTAACAGCGTCTCTCCGAATGCAGCCTTAATGTTTGGTGAAAGTGAGAAAGAGAGTTCTAGTGTGCAGTCTAGTCTAGTGTAGGAATAACAAAAAAATCTTTTAAGCTATAAACAAATGGAGATCGATGACGTATGTAAAATATTCTTTAACGTTCGTTAAAATTATTATATGAATATGCAAAAATTAATTTTTTGACGTTGACTTTTTACGTAAAGGATTTTGATATGAGAAGACAATACAATATTAATGCCTGTTTTCACAATATAGGGTTACTTTAAGATTAAAGGTTATCAAGAGATTCGTCAATGAAATTCATTCATGAATTTCTGATAACTTTTAATCTTTAGGTAACCATATATTGTGAAAACAATCGCCTAAGTAAGATAAATGTCCCAGTGGCCGGATGTTTAAGCGTAGGCTGTCACAAATAATATAATTCATAATATTAGAAAAAATTGTAACATAAAATATTTGTATTTATATATATATATATATAATATATGTATACCTTGTAGAAAAGTACTACTACGCAGTAATATTTTGAGACACTATTTTACTATTGCACTACTACACTACAGCAGTAATGTGGTGGTGCAGTAGTGCGCAATAGTATAGTAGTGTGCAGTAGTGCCTCGAAAAGTACTACTGCGCACTAGTAGTGCTCAGTAGTACTTTTCTATAAGAGTTGAAAATTTAAGACTCGCCCTTAATTGAGCAAGGAAAGATTATTCGAACTTGTAACAATTATTAATTGAAATATTTAAAGAAGTAGTAGAATGTATCAATATACCAGTGGCCGAATAGCTGAACTAGGTTATGGCCTAATGTCAGGACGTAATTGTCCCAGTGTCCGACTACAATTAGAAAATTAGTACGCTGACGAGAAATATTAATATAAATTAATATTTAATGACAAAAGACAACTAATTCAAATTAATCTTTATATTAATAATATCTTTTATTGTTGTCAAAAATTATAAAAACGTTTATTGCGTACCCTGCAAAATTACGTCCGGACATTGAGCCATAACATATTTCGGCTGTCCGGCCACTGATACGTTGACGCACTCTATTACTTATTTAAATATTTCAATTAATAATTGTTATAAATGGGTTCAAATAACTTTTCCTTGCTTAAAGGAGTCTCAAGTTTTCAAATGAATACAAATATTTATATTACAAACCTTTCTAGCCTAAATAGCACACAACGCTTACAAAGCGTTAACATAGCGCTAAAAAAAGGCATATAATCGCTTTGCAAACGCTTTGCAAGCTTTGCTGTGCTACTTGGGAATATTATAAATTGTATTATTTAATTGTAATAACGTTTAAATGTCTGGCCTTTGGGACATTTATTTACCTTAAAGGTGCCTTTTCATACTGACGCTCGACACTCATTTTCGGCGTCAAAATAAGTCACGTGATAGAAATTGACGAATATCAAGCGTCAATTTTGATCACGTGATCTATTTTGACGCTGAAAATGAGCGTCGAGCGTCAGCATGAAAAAGCACCTTAATGAATTTGTTAACGATTCGCCACCATTTTGTGAAATAGTAGATACAAGCTTTTCTTTAATAAACTTTTTTTAAAACACAAAAACATTTTATTTGGTCTACTGCTTTTATCAATTAATTATCAAATATAGGAGTTCTCTGATAGCACACTTTATCCGGGATACATCCTAGGCATGTCCTTAGGATGTTCAAAGGACATACGGACGTCCCTTGGAGGTCTGTGCCGTTAGGGTTTTCTTTTTATAGTAACTATTATTTTCATTTATAACTGCTAAAATGAATAATAAATATTATTTTTCACAATATTTAATATTGAAACTCATTCGACCGTACACGTGAGAACACAATCAATAGAGATAGATGCCTTTAACGGTCTAAGCTGGATCTTAAGTGTTTGTATAATTCTGTGTGAGTTTATTACTACGTATATACAGAAACTACGCATCGAAATGATTTTTCGATCTTGAAACGCAAACTTTACTAAACTACCGCAGTAATATCACGAATTAAATTGACCAGCTATTTAACAATTTGATGCTCTTTTCGCATCTTATAAATAATCTTAATAATGCTGAGTGATATATTAGAATCTGTAAATAATTAATTCTTATTGCGAAAAATATTACCTCGGTCGGGATTATTTTTCACTGTGGTCGGATACTGGAACGTGTGTCCGGTCATTTGGGACATTTACCTTATGTTTTTATTTATACATTATATTTGTGTATTAATTATTTTTTTTCTAAACGTATTCCATCTTTTTCACAACATCTATAATCAAATATGATACAACTATATGTCCATTAGCATTATAGGTATATTCGTGGATAATTAAAGGAGCACTTCCCGTACGATCGTAGAAGTCAAGCACGCTGTATATAGGAGGGTACATCTTAAGATGGGTGATCGCTTGGGAACATCATGAAATTAATTTCCGAATTCAGGAGAAAGCGTTTTTTTTTTAAATTATAATTTTGTCGTGTGTATTCCGGAATACACATGACGCTAATCAATAATACGTATTTTAGCAATAAAACTGGATTAATTAGTTTTATAGAATAATTTAAGGGTTCTTTTCGAGGTTCACCCTCATTTCGGAATTAACCATCAATTAACGATCCGAATTTACGCCAATATTTTTACACTCCCGAAAATGAATGTTCTTTTCGTAAAGAGAATGCTGCCTGGGTGTCACGTTATCTTTGTTTAACGTTCGGTAAACAACAAGGATGAAATGATACCTGAGTGGCACTCGGATGGAAATCTGAACATAGCCCAATGTAACAAAAGGTATATGTTCGATTCAAAGAAATTTTTTTTTAACCGTATAGCATTTCTTTGAATCGAAGAAACTTTTCTCTGGTTGTGTGGTATTGCGATTACCTATAGTTAATATAAATATCCGAGATATCCGAAATAGACAAGTATCATATCATTCTATCATCTCATTCATTAGCTTGCGATTTTTAAAATAATTATTTTGTGTTATAAATTTTGCGTTCTAAAGATTTTTATTTTGAATACTTTGTTGTTCTTTAATATCTTTTTATGCACGAATCATGGATACACTTTCTAGGATATACCGTGATTTTGGATTTCGCGTTTCCTAGTTTCTGCCTAGTGTATCTAATCCGCAAATATAGCACGTGCATGTGTATAATCTAATAAGCTTGTGCACACACCTGCACAAAGGATCGCGATACGTGGGCGCAGATGCGCACGCGGACGTACGAAAGACACGAGGCACGAATTGATCTCGAGAGGGACCGTCAATTACCACCTACCTATCGTCTAACTAGAAAGCCCCCCGACCACCATCCACTACCCTTTGCTTAGTTAGCAGATTACGCGGCGAGTAACATTCAAGATTCATTCTCCCCTTCAACCTCCGGAAAATGGCGGGGCAAAAAGAGGGCACAAGCAGAGCGTCTCGGTGACTATAAAGCCTCACTGTGGCCAGCTAAGCTCGTGTTTCTAACTGCAGTTAGCTCAAGAGTTCTGTACGTGGCTTTTTGGAAGGTCTGAGTGTGTCTCGCACAGTGTGATTATTTACTGCCACGCAAGTGCGCACCAAATCGCACTAATAATAATCGTCGTCTTTCGGAATACTCTAAAAATCATCATGAACATCCTTGTGAGTATAATCCCTTAATTTTATTCACTCTTTCGCGATTAATCACAGTCATTTTCTAAATAATTACTAAAAGTGGAAAACTTCTGAAAACAGGAGGTTATGACTTCGACTAATCGCATTCCATTTCTAATTGATATCTAATAATTATGTCAATTAAATATATTTAGGATAATAATTATATCAATTCAATAAACAATTGCATTTGTAATTAAAATTTTTGACCGGGATATAATAAAATTTTGTCTCAAATAATCGAAAAAATTAGAATATTAATTGTAATATAAATTGACTCTGAATTTTTTATCAAAATGCATCAATTCAGATTTTTTCAATTTTTAAATTCAATTTGATAGTTCAATGAAGATCTAAAGATTATCGTTCGATTTAATATGATCTTATTTTACCCTTTTTTTTATTATTATTATAATCAGTGCGCACTTTGCTTGAATTGGAAATCGTAACAATTTACACAAAAATATTATTAGGCATTACAATACCTGACTTGACTGAATATAGCACTCGTCACTAATTTGTGTTCTTTTTTTATTAATTTACAGCCGTAAACAAATTTTAGGAATGTGTTTTTTTGCAACAAATTGCTCCATATTTAGCTAGAAAGGGGCAAACGCAGTAACACTAGTGGCAGTCATGATTAGTAGAAATAAATTTTATAAAAATTTTATGTATCAATTGTCTCTTATTAAGTTAGATGTGTTTAAAATATCGAAAATTAATCGAGCATCATGAAATTTCGTCATGAAATTATGGCAATTGGATGCAGAAAGATTTCACGATCGCTTTGGCGATCGATTATCGCAGAAGATTTGGCACGAAAGGTGGATAGTTGGATTATCTAATCGTGGGGCGCGTGCGAATTTATAAAAATTCACATTTTATTCGCGACGGAGAAGTCTTTACGTATCTACTTATTGATTGCGACAAAGACGATTTTATCGGAGTCGATTTCGTTACTTCCGTTTAGCACACACAAACGGTGTCTATAGTACAAGGTATTTTCGGAAAAATGATGGCGAATATGATTGTTACAATTACGACGAGATATCGTGCAAATCTGGTGTTACAATATATTATCTCAGTACGATATAATTGTATTATGCGAGTGATCAAAATGAGATGTTGAGAAAACGAGTCTTACACGTGGCCTTACACCATTATACGGATCAATTCCAGCACCCGTTATGCTTATTGTAATCGTTATTTTTTCTCATTAGCCCGCGTGAAAAATATTGCGCGTTGTGTCACAAATCACTTAACTCTCCTCGGCTTTTCGAATACAATGGAGGAAATCTCCGACAAGCGTGAGACAGGGATTATGACGCATGGAATAACGTATAATTATTTATAACCGCGCCGGCTCTTGCAATGACTCGAAATTCTCCGGCGTACCAAACTACCTACCCATCTCAACCTACCTACCTATCTAGCAGACCCTTTTACATGAATAATACATATAAGATTATATAATTTCGCGCGATGTTTATATTATTATCGCAGTGCTAATCTAATATCAAATAGGTAGCAGTTAAATATTTCAGGGTACAGATGCAAAGTAACGAGTGAATTGTAATAACTGTATTTTCTCTTTGAATTACTAGTTAATCAATTAGAAGTGGATTGTGACTAAGTTATCATTTTATATATATATATATATTAGTTAGTGAGAATTATATAATTATTCTAATAACTGGGATCGACTTCCAGACTGTCAAATAATTCTGTATACTGTGCGCATTCCTTATTGTAGGAATGCTATTAGTATACTCGATATGATAAATTTTTAACTGACATCACACGATTAATCATTTTTACAGATATTACTACTCGGTCTGACGACGATGGCGTACGCACAGTTTAACAGGTTCACGACTCCACAACCGACGCAATATTATAATCCTACTAATTACTATGGCCGGCCTTTCTACGCTATACTGCGACAAACGCAAGACTCCGCGCCGGATGGATCGTATTCTTACAGGTATAAGATAGTCTCAGTGCTGAAGTGTACGTATTTCGGTGCCGAAGTGTACGTACGTTTCGTCAAGAGAACGATCTCGACACGCTCGAGGAGTCGCGGATGCCCTCGAACGAATGCCTCGTATATGAAAATACGCGGCATTCGGTCGATGCAATCGCGAAGTTAACACGCTCGGCGTCCGTTTTTCTTCTCATTCTATCGCTGTGTCTTCATCGAGGAGTGATTAATAGGCAGGAAGGAAGTGTAGTTAATGCACAGGAAACGCACGAAAGTAGTGACGCGCTTTGGTGATGTTGTATATTAAAACTTGTATATTATTATTTCTTAATAAATGTATATTATGTATATTGTTCCAAGATTTCTATATGTTTTTTCATCAGATGATAAAACTAAGTAAATGGTATGAGTATAAAAATATCAATATTTTTAAAGAAAAAAAAGCATCAAAAATCTTTTTTATTTTATAATTATATAATGTAAAGTTTGGAAACGATAGTAGTTTATTAATTATCAATACAATATTGACATGAATTGATTTTCTTTAGAACAAGATTTTTGTTAATGATGAAAGCCTTCTTTCCAGAAATATATATACATATGTTACAAGCTACGTGTAAAGATAGCGTGTAATTGATTGAGAAGAATCGATATAATTGTCTGAAAAGATGTGGGATGCGTCGAGTTGTTTCTCGTTAGTACGTATCTATTACATATGGTATAAGCATTGTTCAACCGCTTATTTTTCAATCTTGATAATGACGACATCCTTTTACCATCCAAAAAAGGAGTTTGAACATTGTAATTATATATGTCAATCGTGCTCGCGCAACATTTGTTGGACGGTATTGCAATTATTTTATTGTCCGCCTACGTAAATAATTCTCAAATCTCGTGACTTATACGGCGAAAATATTTCTCAAACAAGAAAACAAATTTGAATCGTGCGGAGACCAACAGTTTTACACGGTCGCTTGGAAGTGTTTCTGAGTTTAGTATGCTTTAATAGTAATTAGATACACACAAAAAATGTGCGGATTCCGGTGTAGTAATAACATGTGCATTGCGAATTCGTGGACATTCTCATGTAAAATTCAGTAACGACAAAGAAATTTCCGGCTAATCTTCATTTACGACTCAGGAATGCAATAAAATTTGCATAATCATTTTATCCTATTTATCCCAAGTAATTAATTTTCATAGTCGTGTATTCATTTTAATTTGCGAGACAATAATAAAATCGAGAGAATTTGTTTAGAAAAATTTTATATTATCGTTTAATAGCAAAATTACCATTTACATTACAATTACAGTAGCAAAAGAATTTAATTTACCAGAATGAAGAAATAACGATTAAAACATACTCGATATAATGCAAACATCACATGATGGAGAAAAATTGATTAAAATTAATGTCTTAATTTAATTTAACAACATAGACACGTTAAATGTTTACTTATTTATTTATTTAAATAGAAATAGGTAAAGAAAATAAAATTGTGCGTAAAACGATTAGTTACAGCTTTAATGATAATTATTACAGGCCTACACATATTCAGACTTATAAAATTATACACGAAATTTAAGTATCAATAATTATTATGTTATTTCCGCAATATACGTGATCCCCCTCCTCTCTCTCTCTCTCTCTCTCTCTCTCTCTCTCTCTCTCTCTACCTGAAGTATTACCTTGAATTATCGTATAATTATGTAAACTAAATAATTATGCAAAAAATTCTACACGAAAGTCTGTACAAAAAGTCAATTCTTGCAAAGACGCGTTGAAATGTTTTCATCCCGCTCTGACTTTCTAATATATCATGATTCGCTATAATTAATCAATTGCAACGAGATGATTCTCCAGTCAATAAGTCAGTTATTATCAAATTATCTATTAGGTGATCGATCATCTCGCATCGTCCCGTGATATTTACATCACGCTAAATCTATAATATACGACACATTTTACACGCAATTAATAACTGTAATAATTGACTTCGAAAAACTAAAAATCTGCGATTATGTTGCAATATATTCATTCTACATTATATTATACATTTGTTTCTGGGCGACCTAATATTTTATTTAGCTCAATGGTCCTTGGAAATTTTTCCCATCGATCCGGTCATACCTCCATAATAATCAATTATTCAACGCTTTCTAACTTCAGGACTTTGTGTGACTTTATCATCTAAAATAATCGTATGGGCGTGTCAAAGTCGCGGACCATTTGCGCGTAGGCTAGTAGATGATTTCCCAGACGCTACTTGAAACAATTGACCGGTCTTAATTGAAATCGCAAAAACCGTGAATCCGTCTCGGCCAAAGGAAGGATACATAATTGGCTTTGATGTTAATCATACATGCGCCACTCGGTTGTACAACACGTAATAATTGCGCAATTGAACAATTACAATCGACCTACCTGCTTACCTCTACCTGCCTGTCTACCTACGCGCTCACCTTCCTCATCCATCCTCATTGCCCTTCGCATCTAACTCGGGCCCCTCTCGTGACACCTGTCTATGAGATATTGAGACTTGGCCAGGTTCCACCTAACATCTCAAAAGTAGTAGTATTTTTCTCCGACTGGTTTTTCCAATGGCAGTTCGGTGGGAAAGTAGACACGAAAATGTTAATCGCAAAGCTGATAAAAACAATTAATTGTTCTTCTGAATAATTTGAAATGAATTTTAATTGCACTTACTCAGATTCTGCATGAAAAATTCTCATGCAAAATTACAAGCTGAATTTTTTTAAAGATGAAATATTGAGGTTCTTAGTAATTCTTCGGAAAATAAGCGAAAATGAACCATCTCAAGCAAATCTTGCATTTACAGGTGATCCACGAACCATCAGTAGTTTATATATTTATACAATAGTTTAAAATTTAATTAATTTATTTTTATTTAATCATATAAACTGCAATTCTTTTCTCTTTCTGTAAACGGTACTTCGGTACCTCATAAAATGTCTAAACAATTTGTTTCTATTACAGCTACGATACAGAAAATGGTATTTCCGTAGCAGAGACAGGACAGCCGAAAAACATTGGGCCGAATCAGATCGAGGCGGTCAGAGGTCAATACAGTTACACCGCACCAGATGGTACCCCAATCGTGGTCACTTACACAGCCGATGAGAATGGTTTTCTGGCGAGTGGCGCCCATCTGCCGACACCGCCACCAATACCGATAGAGATTCAACGGGCTCTGGCATACAATGCGGCTCATCCCGAAGAGGAGGAACCTTACAGGAGATATTAAAAATATCTATGCTAAGACTGCTCCCAATGTTTCAATATATCAACGTGGAATGACATCGCGGTTATCGCTTCTCGGATATTGATGATATTTTGCTGTAATATTATTATTCGTATCGTTATCAATAGGTGTTGTTGAGCAAGGATATAGTGTGAAACACAGTTTAATAACGTTGGCAAATAACAAGGATGAAACGACTCACTGTGTTACACAGTGTCTGACTATGTCCTTGCTGGAAAGCACCCACAGTGAATTATTACATCCTTGTTGTTTGCTAACGTTAAACAAGAATGAAATGATTCACCGTGTTACACTGTGTCCTTGCTGGAAAATGCTGCATGAAAGATTCTTAATTCAAAGCGTCGTTTGATCTTGGCTATTGATTCTGGGATGAACGTCAATGTAGAAAAAATGTTAAGCATTCTTTATTTCGAGTACGGTCAATCGCACATATGGTTGCTCCATGATCATTATATCGATGATCAGCCTATCGAGCAGTATTATAGCAGTTTTATTTTGTGCGTGCAAGATGGGCACGATTAGGAGACGATGGAACGTGAGATCGATGAGTAAGTACAAGCGAAGTTAGAATAAGAAAATGAAAGAAATAAATTTTTATTCTTTATACAGATTGATATAAAAAAAAAGAACCTTTAATAATAATAATAATAATTTTATTCGTTATTCTTAATGATCATAAAATTCCGACCAATAGATATAAACAAAAAGAGACAAAATTGGTACGCGGTTGTGGAACGTTTTTTTTTTTAGAAACCCTTTTTCTCCATTTGAAGTGCATCGATGCAACAGGGATAGAGATTCCTATAACTGAAGTATAACTAGTTTTGTATATATCTTAAGAAATTGCAATAGTGCGATACGAGAAGCCATAAAACCAATCTGGAAAGTAATTTGCATAAGGTCGATAACAATTGCCAGTTTAATTAAGTAACAATTGCCATCAAAGCTCGAAATAAAATAAAATATTGGACATAATTATTGTATACTGCATATGCTATGCGCAGCATGCTATATTCAGCGAAACTGTGTATTATTATATAAGATGGCATGATAATATTTTAAATATGAATTACGCAAGACCGCCTTGCCTTACTCGAGAGAGATCAATATATTACGAAAGTTTATGCCAAACGGTGCGATTTGCGGCTCGAATCATTCATTTATTTCCAAATAAATTAAAATAATAATTTAGGCTCTGATGAACAAATTATTGAATTGTAATTGCCTTTTTTGAGTCAACACAGGATATCAGTGTGTAAAAAAAATGTTTTATTCTATACAATTAATACAAACATATGATAACACATATGTTTTGACCTCAGGTTTAGGTCCTCTTCAGTACATAAATAAAAGAATACAAAAATAAAAATTGTGTAGTCACAATCAATTTCATAATTGATCTTACAAAGGATTAGATTCAAATCAGAATTGGTTTTTTTTTTTTTTTTTTTTTTTTTAACGAGACGATGAGTAATGTTAGCGTGATGTTCTCGCGTGTGTCACCTCATATATCCGTCCATTTTATACATCGATGCGTTAAATTGTCAAATTTACTAAACATTGAATTTTTTTATATCGTTATTTATAAATTAAAATGATATTATTTCGTCGAAAACTTACATGAAAGTGTTACGTGGACATAATTAGAGATGTCGACAGCTCGCGCACTATGGATCTAATGAAAGTCCTCGCGACAAACATCAACCGATACCTACATATAAAATCGCAGAAGAGAGGGAAGCAGCAAGTCATAGTATATTAAAATATAGAGGATCAAGAAGTGCCGTGTCATTTCATAAATTTAAACCATTAGTTTTGTTGTTTTATGTGTAACATTTCGAAAAATCAGTCTCTTTTGTAAAAAAATCTTTTCCTCATCCTCAGGATCTTTACGTTTTCTTAATCAAATTCACATAACATTTAAAATCTGTGCTCCGTGATTACTGAACGTTGTATTGTATTCCATCTTATATGATTCTTATGTTCGTTTCCTCTAATTATTAGAGTTTTGCTTGTCTGGCTTATATAGAACCCATTCTTTACATTTGATTTTAGAAACTACGTTATCTCTGAACTTGATAGAAGTTTATCTTTAAGTATTCTAATAAATTGTCGTAGTTTATTCATTCAATGTAAGTTATACGGACAGTGGAATCATTTTTAAAAAACTTATTAATTTTTTCAGAAACCTTATTTAAAAGTGGAATGATAAAATATGTAGGTTTAACTGTGTTTTCTTTTTGTTTTTGTGAGAATTATCTGTATTCTGCGAATCTTTATTTATTTATTCTAATTTTTTATGCAATCTTTTCCTAATGTTATTGAAAATTATTTTTAGAGAATATCCATAACAAAACAAAATTTTTATGGTTTTTTGTCAAAATTTTTTTTGTGAACTCTCGGATATCATAAAAGTAACACTCTGTCGACTTGATTCAATATAACATCCACTTTCTGATAGAAAGGATGATGAGAAAAGTAATCAGGAGACACGGTAGTGTCTCAGCGCTGAGACAAGCGCAGCGACACTACCGTGTTCCTTTTTCAAATAACGTCGTGAAAACGTGGACTTGAAGTATAGGCAATTACAATACAGTCATTTAGGTATTTCCGTAATGATTCATTTGAAAATTTACGTTTATAATAGACCCGTAAAAAATGATATTATTGGTGCATATGTATAATTATATATATTATGTATTAATTGAATACAATTCGTACTCGTTCTTGAGAATTCCGATCGTCATCTAAATGTGCCTTAAATTCTAAACAATATAAATTCATATAAAAATACGAAATTAAAGAAATTTTCATGTACTTTAGAACAACATATGGTACATCATATATATCATGAAATTCAAAAATTAATTTTTTTCAAAATAGATAATAAATATAGACATACAACATTTTAAAATGAAATAATAATCTTTTATATGTGAAAAATTTCACATATAAAGAAAGAATTAAAATTCTACCAGAGTTCTATTATACCGTTCAGGGTTTACTAATTAACGATATCTCCAATAAGAAAGACCTACCGAATACGAAGTGTATCCCCCTTTGCTTTACTTTGATCCTAACACAAAAGAGATTACATTAATCGACAACTGATTGAGGTCCTGCGCATCCTGCAGTCGTCTCGCTTCTCTATGTTCTCCGTTCAACGATAAGTGATGGAGAAGATAGAAAGGTGCAAAGTGGCGGTGCAGGTGCCCGATACGATAATATGTCATATCATAATGTCATGTCATAATTATGCTGTAATGTATCATGCTAAGGTTATTAAATCGCTTAATTTCACATGCTTTTCTACGTATTCTGAGTATCGTAATCAAATACCTATCCATTAAGGATTCGTCTCCGTCCTGTGCTTGTAATGATTTTTAACAAACCGGGCATAGTCATCGTAATAAATTATTTTAATATGTAAGATATACTATCCTTTTATTCACAAATAATAATTTTGATTTATAATAACAACCAAGCTATTCGCTATTCATTATGATAAATGTTGAATTCGTAGCATTATATTTCAGAAAAAGCAGTACTTGTAAGAAACTGGAAAATGAATACGAGATTATGCTGCGAGTTAAGGTAAATTACAGATCACCATGTGCTCGATAAATTGTTTGGAGATTTTTCAGGATTACGTGTGAAGACCAAGTCAAAGCAGTTGGCGAAGTCGCCTAGTGGCTCACATTGATTTGTTTACATGAATGCTTTACGATCCGGTCACGTTATATCATAAACGTCGCGCGGGATCGCTTAGAACGTTACGTCAGAACCACGCGGGGAGGAGAAAGGATGGTACCTCTCAGACTCCGTTTTGAGTTTGATTCAGACGAGAGTATGTCTTTCTCAATTCCAACCGTAAAGACTTATTAGAGAAAAAGAATCTTCTCGACATCGCGCAATGTCTACTTTTGCATTTTGACGATAACCGTTTTTGGTTAGCTGCACGCGATGCTGTCGCTCGATCACGTGAGGATCCCAACAATTCATTATGAACCCAGTATGAAACAACGTACGCGTCGAAATAATAGTAATCAGGGAATAAGCTTGAATCGCTTTCTCGAGAGTGTGCTGTCATGACATGATCACTTATCTGTAAAAATCGAATAAATGCGTCAATTTAACGCATTCATATTAAAATGTCATAATTTCGAACATTTCCAAATCATAAATTCCTTAAAGATTGAAGATTTATGCATCTAATTATCGCTGGATTGTGTATTGACAAACATAAAGCATTTTCTTAGAGATTTCTCAAAAGTCCTGTAGAATTATGTCCAACTTCCTCAAATTATTTCACCTTCCTCATATTATGTATTTTATTGTTAGACACAGTAATAATTTTACATTACTTGTAACACGCATCGACTTTTTTTCCGCGTCGATTGATCGCAGATTTATTTATCAGCTGTCAAGCCTCGACGATCGTTATTGAGCGTGTCTGTCTCGCGAAAGAACGTTCACTCTAACAACCATTAATTAAAATATATAGATTCTCGCATCGCATTCGATGACGTTCGCGCCGATAAAATAGCGCTATGATTTACAGCAATTATATTGCCGCAGCGTGAGCGTTTAATCGTCGCACGCCCAAGCACGAGAGCAAAATTTTAGGCGGATCGACCGGCCATGGAAATGCCATCCGGATTAATGTTAATGGTAATCGTAATACTCGTAATATCATGTTAAAGGTGAGTCAGTGAAAGCAAATCATCGGTCTCCTGTCCATTGCACAACGCGCGAGCGAGCGAACGTGTCTCTCGGGACTCTTCGGTTTATCCGCGAGATGGAAATGAGGGGGTATCGAATTTAGTGATTCTTCGAAACTTTCTATAGCCACGGCAGAGCTTTGGAAATATAAAATAGGTGGTCATAAATCGATCATAGTAGCAGGAGCGTAGAGCCAGCAGGTTTTAGACGCTGTTCAAATTTTATTGCTCACGCGATACGATCGCGCGATAATTGCTAATAATTAGCTCGCTCGATTGCACGATGAATGTACATATTTTAATTTTGAACACATCTTGCATTCACAATACGAGCGACTTATCGAAATCTAAATTACAACTGCAAATTAAACGGAGCAGTGTTAGCTCGAAAGGTCAGTTTAATTTCATTGCTAAA